AGCATATGCTCATGCTGATTACTCCACTGACCAACTCACACCGTGTACCAGGCGCTCCTTCTCGGGGAGAGGTTCCCAACCGCGGCAGCAAAACAAAAAATGCACAAGTTATCCTTCAGCAGGGTCTCATTATCTATGGTGTGGATGTAGTTTTCATCGCGGGTAAGTTTTTTCGCTAGGAGAGTCGACAATCCGAAGTGTATAGGGTGTGGGGTTTTCGAAAGTCCTTTCCTAATTTGGTATCTAAGAGGCGATGAAAGAGAGGGAGTCCTCGGTGCTGGGGGCTGGGCGCAGCAGAGCGGGGTCTGAGGTGGGAAAGGGCTCCCAGTAGATCAGGAGAAGCCACAGGGCACGCGGTGGTAAGGGGGGATGTGGTACATAAAGTAAATGACTTGCCAGGCCAAGGGCTCCCCCACCCTCACTGCAACGTGCTCCGAACTGCTGCTAAGCCTGACATTTCCAGGATGACTAACCGAGATCTTGATCTCCCCCAGTTCATATAGAAAGGACTGCTTGTCCAGTGCTAATCCTAACCTTATCATGTAAATTCTGTGCTGTGGTGCTTGAAATACAATCCAGGGGAGAATTATTCATACTTCAATCATTTGGCTGGACTTCATTGAGTTTACTTCAAAAATAAAGGCATACTCTTAATATTTAAGCCCCTGCAAACTTCCTATCAGGTGGCTAAGCCCTTTATCTGTGCGGTCCCATCTCCTCTGACTCTGCAGAGAAGATATAAAAGTACATATCCAAATTGTAAATTCTCTGCCAAGGTCATAATAAGGCAGTGGAAGGCAGTTTCATTTCCAGAGTTTAAAATATACACAATTCTGGTCCTGGCCAGTGTGCTCAGGGGTTAGAGTGTCAGCCCACACACCAAAGGGTCGGGTTCGATTCCCAGCCAAGGGCATGTATCTGGGTTACGGGTTCGCTCCCTGCCCCTCGTGGGGGCACCTACAGGAGGCAACCAGTTGATTTGTCTCTCTCACATCTATGTTTTTCTCTCTCCATCCCTTCCACTCTCTCTGAAAAAGCAATGGAAAAATATTCTCAGGTAAGAATGAAATATATATATATATATATTTCTTAAAGCCCATATCAGATGACCATCTATGAGTTTGACTTGGAATTCTCTCATAGAGTAAAATAGAAAAAGCCAAGTATGTGAGCTGCTTATCTCTGCCTTGATTCCATGTGATCATCAGCTTCTTTGACACATCGTGGTAAAGCAAGTGAGTCAGGCTGCTATTTACAAGTATTTCAAAGCACAGCCAGATAGGTTGGGAGCTTGTCAGGCTTGCTCATGTCCCTACTGAGATTTCAGCTCTTTGAACATTCACATGCGTCTCATTTTCATATCAAGATATAGAGTGTTTGACCTTTGTATAGTCATGCACTACCTGACAGGGATGCGTTCTGGGAAATGCACTGTTAGGTGATTTTATCATTGTGGGAACATCATATAATGCACTTACACAAACCTATATGGTATAGCCTACTTTACACCTTGGCTGTATAGAATAGCCTGTTGCTCCTAGACTGCAAACCTATACAGCATGTTACTGTCCCGAATACTATAGGCAATTGTAACAAAAAGTTAAGTATTTATGTATCTAAAGAGAGGAAAGGTACAGTAAAAATACAGTATAAAAAATGATCCGCCTTTCATGGAAGTGCCCTGTCCTTGCCATGAATGGAGCTTGCAGGACTGAAGTTGTTCTGGGCGAGCCAGTGAGTGACTGGTGAATGAATGTGAAGGCTTAGGACATTACTGTGCACAACTGTTGATTTAAAAACACTGTACACTGAGGCGACACTAAATTTATAAAACAACACAAGATTAAACCAAGCGCACGAGAAGATGATGTAATCAAGAGACGGAGTAAGCACGAGATGTATAGGCTACGCTGGTGTAACATGGTATACTGTTTTACAGCAAATTTAGGTTTTTAATAAGTGGAAAGAGTACACTTTAACATTGTAGCACATAATTGTGTGTTCTATACTTTTATATGACTGGCAGAACAGTAGGTCTGTTTACACGGGATCAACATAAGCATGTGAGTAACGTGTTGCATGATGATGGCTACGACATCACTGGGCGATAGGGATTTTTTAGCTCCATTATAATCTTATGGGAACACTGTGGTGTATGTGGCCCATCACTGGCTGAACTGTCATTATATGGTGCATGACTAAATCTCAAGATCTAGCATCAGGCTGTGTCAGGACACTACGTCTGTTTACTTGCACAATGGAGAGAGGTGAAGTCTGGTGGCCAAAGTCTCCCCTGGGCTTTTCTTTTAAAGACTGCATGCTCGCTCGCTTGGTGTGCCTGTGTGTGTGTCTGTCTACGTCAGTGATGGCGAACCTTTTGAGCTCAGCGTGTCAGCATTTTGAAAAACCCTAACTTAACTCTGGTGCCGTGTCACATATAGAAATTTCTTGATCTTTGCAACCATAGTAAAACAAAGATTTCTATTTTTGATATTTATTTTATATATTTAAATGCCATTTAACAAAGAAAAATCAACCAAAAAAATGAGTTCGCGTGTCACCCCTACACACGTGTCATAGGTTCACCATCACTGGTCTACGTCCTGCTTGGTTTGGTGTGTTTCCATCTATCACTTCAGGTTAAAATATTTCCCTCCTCGTCCTTCCTGCCCAGGCTTCCCCAGAAGTGGTGGCTTCGTTTGTGAACTCTTATTGTACTAGAGATACCATGACAAGCAAGACAGACATGGCCCCTGCCCTGCCTGGAGGAGACCTGCTATTTATTGAGTGCTTGCTCTGTGTCAGGGCTTTCCATACACGGCCACATTTGCTTTCCACAACAACCCCATGAAATAGTTATTGTTAATTCGTTTTTACAAATGAGAAACTCAGAGAAGTTGAGTAGCTTGTCCCAGGCTATACAGCTAGTAAGTCAGTGGCAGAATAGGGATTTGAGTGTCTGACTCGAAAGCAAGCCTAGGTTCTGAGTCAGACCATGTTTGATTTTTAAAAATCAAATAGGCTATAAGAAGCACATAGAAACATGACTAGAAACATCAAGACAGAAACATCTCCAAGTGGAGAAAACATGGAGCCAGAGGCTGGAGACTGGACTTTGGTCTCCTCAGTGCTCTTCCAACCACGTGTTCCCACCTCATGCCTTCACATTTGCAGAATCCCCGCCTGCAACTCCATTCTGCTCTTCCCTTCATTGGAACCATTCATTCTCTCTCTCTCTCTCTCTCTCTCTCTCTCTCTCTCTCTCTCTCTCTCTCTCTCTGTCTCTCTCTCTCTCTCTTCTTTTCTTTTCTTTCAAGTTTCATGTCATTATTCCTTTTCAGAGAGGCCTTTCCAGACCATCCTAATCTGAAATAGCTACCCATCCCCAGCCAGGATATTCTATCATTTCACCCTGTTTTGCGTTCTTTAGTGCCCTTGTGACTGGGATATGACCTAGTTTGTTTTCTTATCTGTGTTGGTTGGACTTCCCCATCACAGTAGGCTCTGTAAGAGCAGTACCTTGTCTAGTTTATTATATCCTCAGCCTTGGTACATTGTAAACCTTCAGAGAATATATATTGAATGAGTGAACATTTATTTGCTTATCTGGAAAAAGGAAGGGGCTTGATTCTCTGAGATCCCATTTACACATAACACGCTGAGATTCTGCCTAGTGGTCAGATGGGGTAAGTGGCTTCTCTGTCAAAATGGAAAGTACTCAACCTTGAACCTAGATTCAAAGTACACACCATGCACTTCCATCCCTTGGATTTCCCCCTGGGTTCCTGGAGTCTGGAAAAATTAAAAGTAAATAAAGCTCAAGTAAGAAATAGAGCAACCCAAAGGTTGCAAATGAGCATCTCCCACCCATACATCCCCTGCCCCACTTTTATTTTGTTTTATTTTCAAGGCTATGTTTCCCAGCTGGGCCCACCTCCCCCACCATTGGATTGATTCAAACTTGTCACAGGGCCCAGGGTTGAGCCAATCTTTCCAAGTGACTACACACAGGACAAGGCTGTATTTTAATGGGGAAGAGTTCCAATTTAGAGGCAGGGAGTTGTGAAGGAGAGCTTGGCCTGTGATTTTTCAATTTGTCTGCAGCTGAGAACTCTCTGGAAACTTCAGCTTGGATGATCTTCTCCTTCCAGTTGTTAACCTCTGCTTTACATCCTCAGGTCAGCATCCCTTCCTCACGGAAGCTTTTCCAGGGCCGCTAGAGCCCGTTCCCCACTTTATGTGCCCCCACAGCACTGGGGATCACCAACAATGGTCATTGCTTCCTCCATGGAGTAGTAACCTCATGAGGATAGTTGACGCTGTCTCCACACCTGGCACAGTGCTCACCACATAAATGAGTGTTAAATAGAAGAATGAATGAATGTTTCTGTTGACTGAATGCTACTTCTTCATTGTCATTCTCCTCTGTCATCCGGGTAAAAAAAAAAAAATCTGAGTATAAGTTGCTCTGTACCCAAGAGACTCACGTATCCAGTGGCTGTCAGCCCTGCCTCCACGTTGGACAATGTGGAGGGAGACTGCTGCCAGGGCCCTACCACTGAGATTCTGATTCCACTGGTCTGGTTCACAGCAGGGTGTTGGGATTTTAAAAGCTTTCTGGAGGCTTCTTAATGTGCAGCTAGGTTAAGGACCACCACTGTACGGTTTCAGAACTCATTCCTTGCTTTGGTCCTTACAGGCTTGAAGCAGCCACGGGGAGAGAGAGTAGGAATGTAATTCATGGATATTGTAAGAGGTACTTTCACATCTGTTATCACATCTGATAATAACAAGCTAAGGGATCTACTCTCTGGTTTAAATATTCCCTTTATGTTGATGACTCTTAAAAATCTACATACTATCCTGGCTCCTAACTGCACATGCCAGTATCTACCCTCCTAGACCAAACTGTCCTACTGGGACCTCACACAGACAAGCTCCAGTGGTAAGCTTGTTACCCACCTTTCTGCGGGGGCCCCTTCTTCGTTGGGGTGTGACAGCACCACACCATCGTTCTATGGCTGTGGCCCCCCAGCCAGAGGCCTTGAGCTCCCAGCTCTTCACTCTGCCCCTCTTTTCCCTTCCCCTGGCCACTGCCCCAGGCCAAGTTCTTCATTGTTCCTTGCTGGCTTGTTGCCATCAGCTGGACTGACCTCTCTGCCTCTCTCCTCTCCCCTCCTTCAGAATTACCAGCCACAGGCTGGAATCTGTCCTTCCCTTCCAGATCTTCCCCAGAACTTACTGTCAAGTCCAGACACCTTGACAAAGCCTTTGAGAATCAACATCTGGCCCTAAGCTGTGCTTGTTCCAGAAGATGCTTCTCGTCCTCTCCGCTCCAGTGCCACCATGCGACTGGCAGTTTCCTGAGCCTGTGGGGCACTTCCTGCCTCTGCATCTGCCCTTATAGCATCCGCTTGGAAGGCTTTTCCTTACAATTTTCCACCTTTCAAAATCCTTCCTCTTCATTGAGGTCCTTTCTGAGATCCTCCTTGAATCCTTTCATCAAAATTAATTGTTCTTCATATGATTTCATTCCTATGTGGGATATAAAACAGAAAGCAATAGTCCAGCCAGTGTGGCTCAATGGTTGAGCTTTGACCTATGAACCAGGAGGTCACAGTTCAATTCCAGGTTAGGGCACATGCCCAGGTTGGGGGCTTGATCCCCAGTAGGGGGCATGCAGGAGGCAGTCGATCAATGATCTCTTTCATCAATGATGTTCTTATCTCTCTCCCTCTCCCTTCCTCTCTGAAATCAAGAAAAATTGTTTAAAATAAAACAGAAAGCAAGAAATGGACAAACAAAAACTCATAGACACAGACAATAGTATGGTGGTTACCAATGGGTGAGGGAACGGTAAAGGGTAAAGGGGGTCAAATATATGGTGACAGAAGAAGATTTGACTTTCGGTGGTAAACACACAATTTAATATACAGATGATGTATCATAGAAATGAAAAGTATATAATTTTACTAACCAATGTCTCCCAATTAATTTAATAAAAAAGTAACTGTTCTTCCCTTCAGCATGTTAAGGGCCCCTATTGATGAGTCCCTGTTGATGTCCCTATATTATTCTCTCTCAGGGCCTGGGGCTTACGACTCTTTGTTTTTCTGAGTATCTTATAAGGAGTAGGCACTTACATGTTTGTTGAATTGAAAGTAGAAAGGGCAGGTGTTAATATCCCTCTGTAGCCGAGAATAAACGGAGTGTGGGGCATTCTAGAACACTTTGGCCCAATCTTGAAATCTAGATGGGTCTTGGGTAGGCAGAGAGGAAGCAGGCTGCCAGGAACACTGGAGCCAGGGCAGCTTTTGCCCATCATACTAGCCTGGAAATAGAGTTGGCCGACAGCGTGGCCCTTTGCACACAGAGGTTCTGTGGGTGCTCGGGCCTCCCCACAAGGCTCTTTGACATGAGGCAGGCCTGTCTGGAGAAAGAAGGCGCTGATAGCTCCGACAGGTGAGCGTTCACAGCTGTGGGGTCTGTGTGTAGGGTGAGGGAATCCTTGTCAGCTTACATCACTGGTGGTCAGGCAGGGAGGGCTAGGGAGTTTGGTTTCTTTTTTAATAATGATGATGAATGTTGAGCAAGTGCTGACAGTGTGCCAGGCACCAGTCAGCCCCGGGCGGGGCCCCCACGGGAAGGGCCCGCACCATTCTATTGTTCTGCACCCGCTATGAGCCAGGCCTTGTGTGTGGTCCTAATTAGACATGGAGCAGACAAGTCCCAGAATTACCAGGTTTAGCAAAGAACCGAGGCCAGGGTTAGGATTACATAGATTGAGTGAGGGGTCTCCTTCCACAGCCCCCAACACTCACGTGCTTCTCTCTGTTGCACGCAGAAGCCGTGGATCCTGTGTTTTTGTTGTCAGTTGTCTTCTTTGCACAGTCTGCCCCTTTATCTCTTGCACTGGGAGATTCTGGAGGGCTGTGTTCTTGGTTGTCATCAAGCCATGTCCCAAATCCCCAATTCCTTTGTGGAACTGACTCTGCAGAGGTTCTATTAAGTGACGATGTTCACTCAGAGCTGTGGGAAGAGGTGTCTGTGCAGAGCGGGGGCTCCAGGGTTTGAGAGGAGACTGCAGAGCAAGGGGATGCTCTGTGGACCAGCCTTGCAGAGGCCCGTGCATCGGGCTTAGCCCTGCTGCTGTCGTCCACACCCATCTGATGGCATGGCTAGTGGGACACAGTCTGTGTCCTTAGGTCTCTAGGGACTGGCCCTAATTTTCATTCAGGCCTGTGTTTCCTTTCCTCAAACGTCGGCTTTAAAAATGTCCCATAATTTGGCTTAGGTCAAAACCATTGTTTGTTTTGGGGGCGTTGGGGGTGCTGACTCTCTCAGGGTGAACATTTTTACTAGTGGTCAAAGCTGGGAACAGTTGTCAGGGCTGCTTTTGTGTATAACCTCCGGTATCATTTTCCTTTTCTTTCCATACCCCCCTTTTTATTTTTCTCTTCCCTTCCCACTCTTCCCTGACTGTGCAGACACCCATGCTCATTGCTTAACCCTGCTGGTGGCAGGCAGGTTCCTGACCCCTCTCCCTGGGGGACAGTGTACATGGAGCCCCCACCTCAGTGGCTTCCCTCTGCAGCTGAGCCCACTGATGTAGGGAGGAGTGGCCCATCTCCTGACCCCTGACCCTGGCCTGTCTTCGTTAATTAGAGCACATTGATTTATTGATAAGCACCAGGTCGCTGACAGAAAAATTGCCCCGTTGCTGTGGGTAGCACAACTGAGGGGCTGGTCTGGCACTGAAGGAGTTCCAGCAGCTGAGGAATTCCAACAATCTCCGCCTGTTCTTATCGTGTCCAGGGTGGTAGGAAAACGTGAGCTCATTATCCAATGGATCTACAACATTTTCTCTAACGCACTTGTCACTGAAACCTTGAGTCCCTCCTCAATAATCTTTTCGTTAGTCATGCATTTCCACCAGCTTCAGTCACCTGAAATAATAAAACAGCTCATGTGCCTCCAGAGTCTCTGAAGTGTGTTTGCCCTTTTCCATTGGCCGACCTGCTGCCAACCCAGGAGAATTCCTCTGTGATATCAAAAAAGGACATGAGTAAACTTCCTGTTTGTATTAAATTTCACTAGTAGTGCCATTCAGTGTTTATCTTGTAATGCCCTGGACATTTTCTTGTGTTACGTGGTATATTTCCATTTCCTCTCGTCAGCGGGAAGCCAGTTCTTGGGATTATCTTCAATTTATACCTTCACTCCTTTCATTTCCCTTTAGAGAATCATGGCTGCGGGGAAATTCGCAAGCCTTCCCAGAAACATGTCGGTGAATCACCAGTTTCCTCTGGCCTCGTCCATGGACCTTCTGAGCAGCAAGTCTCCTCTCGCCGATCACCGCACAGATGCCTATCAGGACGTGTCTATACACGGCACCCTTCCACGGAAGAAGAAAGGCCCTCCTCCCATCAGGTCCTGTGATAGCTTCAGTCACGCGGGCACCCTGCCCCATTCCAAATCCCCACGGCAGAACACACCTCTGACCCAGGACATCATCCAGGAGCACCCACGGCAGGACTGGAAAGGCGAAGTCTTCACCTCCAGGTAACTTCTTACATTTCATGAGGGAAAATGACTTGTCTTAAATAGCTTTTTTAAAAAGTCATCTTATGAGGGGAAATGTCAAACATGTACAAAGGAGAGCACGTAGTTTAATGAGCTTCCATGGGCCCATCACCCAGCTTCAGCAGTTATCTACTCATGGCCAGCTCTGCTCTGTCTGTTTCCCCACCCACTTTCCTTCCTCTGGTATTATTTTGAAACAAATCTCAGACCTCGTTTTATTTTATCTGTGAATATTTTGGTATGTGTCTTTCAAAGATAAGGACTTACTTTAAAATATATGTAATCATAATACTAAAAATGATAACACCTAAAATGAACCATTTAAAAAATATATATTTTTATTGATTTCAGAGAGGAAGGGAGAGGGAGAGAGAGACAGAAACATCAACGATGAGAATCACTGATTGGCTGCCTCCTACATAGCCCCTACGGGGGATTAAGCCGGCAACCCGGGCATGTGCCCTGACAGGGAATCGCACAGTGACCACCTGGTTCATAGGTCAGTGTTCAACCACTGAGCCACACCTGCCAGGCAAATGAACCACTTTTAATATGATCTAATATTTGAGAGTATTTTCAAAGCCAACTTTCTAAATCATTGAGTCTCTCAAAGAGAAGTAGAAGTTTGGTGTGCTGTTTTTTTTTATTATAACATCAGTTTCTAAACTACATCCATCCAATGCTAAAGAGATGCCAGGATGTCTATAAATTAGGACCTGTATCTCCTTGTATTTAGTTGTAACTTGATGAAATAAAATTTTGTGTGGACCCATCATCAGGTCAGCTACAGAATACAGTAGAATTTATTTCTCCCTCCATCCACCGGGATGTGGGTAAATAAGCCTTACGATGTAAAGGCTTCTCTGGGTTTGTAAGGGGCCTGGCTGTGATTGGTTTCTGTTTGTTCGGAGCTCATTTGGAAACTGCACTCCCTTTCCTGTTGGAAGATAAGCAATCTGTGATGCTAGTGGACAAAGACGGGGAGTGGTTTCTTCTCTTATATTTCCTGGTGTCTCTCCTTCTGTCCAGTCCTGTAGCAAAGAAGGCCACTTTGATCCTGCTTCATTGATTTGTTCAATATCTGTATATTGAGTACCTACATTCATTACAGCACTCTGATTTTATAAGTACCTGTGCTTCACCTGGAAAACTCTGCCCAGCTCCCCTGGGTATCTAACTGAAGGGCTGGTCGAACATCGAAGACATTCTAGCAGTCAAAACATTTCAGTAATCTGCTTTTGCCCTTCTAACGATGGAGAAATATGTGAACTAACAGGATAGCTATGAGACATCTGAAACAGTTTCCTCCCAGAGCCTATATTCTAGTGAAAGACCCAGATAATAAATACAATTAAGTAAACAGTACAGTGCAGATTATAGTAAGTGTTATAGAGGAAAGAGAGGCATATGCTGGAGATTGATTGGGGTTGTGTCTGTTTTATAGGGACAGGTCTCTGAGAAGGTGATATTTAAGCTAAGACCTGCATGATGAGAGGAGATAGTGTGGAGAACCAGTGGCTGGCTGTCCCAGGCACAGGGAGAACAAGTGCAAAGATCAGGGGGACAAGTTCGGGATATTTGAGAAACCCTAAATCAGTGGTTCTCAACCTTGGCTGCACATTAGAATCACCTGGGAATCTTTTTAAGATCCTGATTTCTGGGCCTAGGTGATTCTAATGTGTAGCCAAGGTTGAGAACCACTGCCCTAAATGAAGCTGGTGTGGCCTGTGGCTGGAGTGTAGCAAATTGGGAGAGAATAGTATAGATGTTGGGAGAGAGCTAGGCAGGCAAGAGTTTAGAATTAGTTTTAGTATTGCAGGAGTACAAGAAGAAATTAAGGAGGCCCAGGTATTCTCTGTAGAAAACATTAGAGAGCTCTGAAATGTTTCTGACATCAGACCAGAAGGTTCCCCAGGGAGAACCATTAGAAGGCCTGGACATGCTCTGTTAAAACCTAGGTGGGTGACCTCCCCACTCAGAGAGCCTGCTGATGAGGTGAATGTGGAGGCCCAGCCTGTACACAGCATTGCTCATGTCTCTTCGTTGGAACGTAGCAGGTGGGGTGCAGAAGGGGAGCCGTCATTCCTCCCTCTCGTGGAGCTACGAGGCAGCAAAGGAAAATAATATCTGATCACCCCAAAAGAAGCACAAATGCCAGGCTCCACAATGTGGACTCAGAGCAAACTGTTACCCGGCTTCCTGTGGCCACTTTTTATCTTTTACCTTAAACTTTATAGTGAGCTGGATATCTACTAATTACCACACACAAACTCATTTCTTAAAGTTCTAAGGCCCTGGCGGGGTGCCAGCTCTTACAGGGGGACACGCCAGGGTCTGGGTCGGTCATGGAGGCCCCCTTCCTATCTTGAGGAAGTTCTTGATAAACATCCAAGGTCCAGGCTGTCAACCTGCCAGGACTTCAAAGCTTTTTGATTGGAAAACTGACTTGGATGGAGAGGTCTCATCTCTGTAAAAAGATCTAATCAGGGCACTGGGCGCAGGTCCTCAGTTTGAAGTCCAGGTGGTGGGAGACTTAGCAAGCACGGCTGGCGTGGGTTTGTTTATGACTCAGGGCTGCGTTCATCCTAAGTCACATCTTTTTTCCTCAATTTAAAATATCTTATTGTTAACGGCAAATACAGGAAGCAACGAATGCGGATCTTTTACAATTATGCTGAGCAGGCATGTGGTTGTGTGTCAGAGGATCACAAAGTCCTCTTCCCCACTCATCGGTCTTAGTATTATTTTTAATGACCTAACACGTTGTTTTACATCCTCAAAAGTGATCCCAATTTTGAGGAGTTTAAAGTTCCTTATTTTCTTCTTTTTTAATCCCTTTAAGTAGTCCTAATAAGATTATAGGCTGTCTCAATTCCTTCAGGAACAAGCCGTGGTAGAAACAAAGTTTGTGTGTGTGAAAAATGAGAGACAAGCAGATTGAATGAGAACCCGGGCTTTCGGGTAGGGGGTGCCTAAGGTGCCACAGGGAGCTACCCGGAGGGGAAACAACATTTCTATTCCTAACTCATCGCTTGCAGCCTAGAAGGAGCTGTGACACTCGCCGCCCTCTGCTCCAGCTCACTCAGCCCGGGAAGCTGGGAGCCATGTCTGTTTGAAAGTTAGAGTTTTGAATCTCTGTCTTCAGGGACCGAAGACTAGTTAGGTCTACCGTTAATGGGAATATTGATATTTTACAGGGTTTGTTTCCAGTAAACTTTTGTGGCCTTACTTGCTTCTTTTCATAGTGAATTTAGGCATTAATTTTACAACTTGCCTGGATGTCAAATGTGAAAACCTCCCTTTGTGTCACATTTGGTGCTGGCATGACGAGAGCAGGGCCATCACCAGGAGCCTGGACGCGCTCCTCATGTGTACCCGCCTGCATGCAGAGGGAGCCCTCCAGGCAGCACCCCTGGTCTTGTGAAATACTCTGATACGTTTGCTCTTTCCCCAACAGGTATGCTTACCTTATTAATCATTAAAAGGTCACTTTTATTATAATTGAATATTAATTGACTATCCACCCTGTGAGATCCCAGGCAAAGCAGAGGAAGTTTCCCCTTTGACCTAAAATGTTGCATTATTAAACTGCAATATAAACATGTCATGTTCACATGAATTATGATCTCTTACATTTTATAGTTTTAAAATGTCTTAAAGGACATATTCATAAATTATCTTGTTTGAACATCCTAACTCTGTGTGAGCGACACAGCAAATTTTATCATGATCATGATCATCATCATCATCATCCTCATTTGCAGTTAAGAAATGGTTCAGGGATGTTGAGGCACCAAAGATCAGACCCTAGTGGGTGAGTGAGCTGGGATTAGAACCCAGAAAGTACTGTAGGGTTGTACTCCACAGCCTCCCAAGAATGTTGGCGCCAGCCATGAGCATCCGCTAAGCAATCTTCTTGTGTGGAAAGCTTCAGTCCACGTAGTCTGAATCCAGGGCTCCGACACCCCCTTGGGGAGAATGAAGCCTCAGTCACCAAGAGCCAGGCAGAAGGCAGGCCTGGGAGGGGAGTTGGTCTCCTCATGCGGAGACTGTATCTCTTGGCTTTGTTGTTGTCTTGGCTGCCCTTGGATGTACTTGTGGTTTTGAAAGGTGGCCAAAGCGAGAAGCCAGGGCGCTCTTAAACCTGCTGCTTGATGTCACAGAGGGAGCCTTTGTTCGCAGGCAGAGCGAGGCTTCTCCGACAGGTCTGCAGACAGGATTTCCTCTTGACATTAGCGTTGTTCGCTGGTATCCCTTTGATTCATTTATCTTCAAGGGTGAACTTTTATTTGAGTCTGGGACCTTCCTTGGATGGAGAGGGGACCGGTTCCTGTTGTTGGATATCTGTTGCTGGGATAACTGAGGATCAACGCTCAGAGATGTTCTGGGTCCTTTTCCCGCCTGTGGGTACGTGGAGGCACGCATTCCTGGGAACAGCTGCGGAGTGCCTAATTCCCTCTGCCCCTTGGCGGTGGGAGCATGTGGCAGGACAATGTGATGTTTCATTCATTTGCATGAATGGAGCTGACTGACTAGTCACAAGTGTTTTAACCGAAAGGGGCCAGGAAGTCTGCGGAATTATCCCAAGTTAAAATCTGGTAGTAAGTAACCTACCATGTCACAGTGTCAACTCTTCAGAGCTGAACCAAAGGAGTAAGGCACGGGGTCTGTACAGACTCTTCTCTTAACATGGATGTACAGACCTCGCTCTGGGCTGTGTCAGCGCTGTCATGTGAAAAATCGTTTTCATTTGTTCCTCTTCAGAGCCACCGCGTTCTATCACCACTGCTTTCTCCCCAACGAAGCAAGTTCCCTCAAACATGCAAATAAATCAGTCTTTTGCCTCAGAGTTAATCAGAAGGATCTAAATGTGAAGATCCACATGCAAACACCTGCATTTTATTTATATGTGGACCTGTCTGCTCTCTGCAAATTGGAAGCTTTTCGTGAGCAGAAGAAAAGTTGGGTTTAGAGTTGAAAAAAGCCTACTTAATAGATTAATAGATTCTATTTAATAGAAGGTCATCGAATGAATTAGCAGAATGGCAATGGGCTTAACAGCCAAGAATGTATCTATGAAGTAATAGTCCATGTGTTGAATTTTTATTCTTAAAATTTCAAAGTTGAGTTTTACTAACATTTTGAAATGCCCCGCGGTGTTTGAATGCAACTATCGTGGATGGGTGAGTGAATTCTGAAGAATGCGCATGTCCAGGCCCAGTGCCCATGCTGTGCTGAGGCAGGAGCAGCTGGGTCAGGGGTGAGCTCGGCCCCTGCTGGGCATCGTGCTCATCCCAGGGTTGAGGGGGCCCAGAAAATGGGAAATGCCTGTATGTCCCCCAGCTGCCCGCTGTGGTCCTAACCCTCTGCTGACAGGGGTGATTTGAACCTAAAGGCTGGGGTCTGTGCATTCTCAGCTGTTCTTCTGGGGAAATGAAAGGATTTTTTAAAAAACTGATTGCAAACCAAAACTAAGAAAACAATCAGAGATTACACAATGTTGTCATGCCCAACATTTTTTCTGGGTTCTACCTTCCAGCCCCCAACACACACCGTAGACAGGCCTGCTTTAAATCACAATTTTCCAGGCCGCCTTCAAGCTGTTTGGGAAAGGTCGGGTTTTTAGTCTTCTGAGAGTCAGAAACTCTGAGAGTTTTTTGCATCCCTCAGTACCTATGGAAACGTATTGTAAGCAGAAGGTGCTGTGTAGGTACAAATGATTCGCACTCTTATTACATGTGGGTTTGGGTTCCATCCCAGACTAGTCAGAAGGATGGAAGCTGGAGAAGTTGTAGTTGCTGTTGTTGATTGGAAAGAGACCGAAGCCCTGGGCTTAGGACTGCAGCCACAAGACCGATAAGCCCTCAGGCCACCCTGCTGTTCGCAGCTCTGTAGTGCTGTCACCACCCAGTCTGCCCCTGAGAGACTGGCTGTTGACTGAATGCAGAATTTCACGCTCTTCTTGGAGGTCTCAAAGATAAGCACTCGTGGTCTTCTGGTTTTACGTGTTGTACTGTTATTTACAAATTATAGAAGTCGGAAAAACCTTTCAGAATCGACCCAGTCGTTGGGCAGCCTGGACTGTCTGTGGTCCAGATTCACCTGCAAACGTAGTGTCCAGAGGTAAGATAACTCCAGCTGTGGGGAGAAGGAGAAAACGCAACGCAGGCAACCCGGAGGTCTCCGTTCATGTCCCTGCTTTTCCACTTATTAGATGTATGAACTAGGGCAAGTTCTAAACTATAAAATGGGGATGAAATACTCCCATCTGAGAAGTGTTGCACTACAAATGAAGGCTCCGCTGAATGTCAACACTGATTTTCACATGAGTTTTCTGAGGTCTGGTTGGAGCAGGTCACTGCTCTCAGCTCCCACCTGGTCACCAGCAGTTTATCCTCCTCCTGCCCCAACTCTGCTGAGTGACACCTGACCGTGAAGGCCACGGTGCCTTGGCTGGGACACTGATGTGGCCGTGACTATCAGAGAAAGCTGCCAGTGACCTTGACTCTGATTCCTGCAACCAAACCTGGTAGCCTTGTGACCTTGCAGAATAAGCTACTATACCTTTCTGAATCTCCATATCCTCAAAGGGTAGCATTAAGGTCAAGTGCAATCCCATGTGAAGGCACCTGGCATGAAGAAAGGGCTCAGACGTTGGTTTTCATCCTTCCTTCCTCCTGGAAAGCTGGAGCTGGGAGACTCCTAATCCTCGAGTGTAACCTGAGATCACGTTCAGTGCTGGGGGCTCCTGGAGAAGAAGATTTCCCACATGTTGGCAGAGTCTGGCAGGAATGCTCTATCGAGTCTGCCCTAAGCTGCCCTACAGCAATGAGTCTTGGCCACCACTCGTGATTACAGGTATAACCACCTTGCTCTGCACTGAAAGACCAGCACACCATTGTGCTGAGACTCAAAACAGAGCCTGTTTTCAGTGGCCCAGCCCTGGCTCGCTCGTCCTTGTTCTTAATGTCAGTGTCTTCACTGTTTATTCTTCGGTGAATGTTTATTGAGCTTATTTTGTGTCAGGCATTGTGCTGGGTACGGAGTTCCCATGGAGAATGAAATAGATGTGGGCCCTGTCCTTAGGGAGTGCCCAGATTAGGGGGCACACAGACAAACACATCGACAAACACTTAACAAAAGGAGGGGGTACGAGGAAGGAACATCAGAGAGCCCCTTGGATTTGGTGGAGGGAAGGCCTCTCTGGAGGAGGAAACATTTGAAGATTTAACATAAAAAGAGAATGCAAAATACTTCATTAATATTTGTTACGTTACTGTGTATTGAGATGATAATTTTGAAATAGTAGGTTAAAGAAAATATTTAAGTAAATTTCACCTATTTCTTTTCAATGGTTACCAGAAAATTTAAAATTACATATTTCTATTAGACAGCACCGGTGTAGACCTTGCTAAGGAGTTTAGGTTTTCTTCCTGGGGCAAAGGGAGACATTGAAACGGTATACGTAAGGGAATAGCCTGATCTGATTTAGTTTTTAGAAGATTATTTGGTCTCTCAGTGGAGAATTGATTGACGGGGGAAGAGGGGCTGGAGGGAGGGCAGGAGGTGGTTCCAAAGTGCAGGGAACAGATGGTGGTGGCTCCAGGATGGTGGTGAAGGTGGGTGAAGGTGGGTGATTCAAGTCGAGCCTGCTGATTTACTGAGGGCTGGATGTGCTGGGTTGGGCTGTTTACTGTGATGGGGAAGATTGGGAAAGGATCGGGGCTTCATTGGGTTGGTTGGCTGCTTTTTCTTGGGGGAGGAAAGATAGCAGAGAATGGAGACCTCTGTTTGGGTGTGCTGGTCTGACATGCATGCAGGTCTATGTGGGGATGTGCACCACCACTTGGTAGTATGAGCCTGGAGCTCTGAGAGGTCTGAGTAAAACTTATGAAGTTAGGGGTCTGCGTAGAAATGAAATGGGTGCCATCACCAAGGGAGAGATTGTGAAGCATAAGGAAAGGACTGTAGGGCCAGCCCCGAGGAATCCTGGGCTCCCCTTCCAGGGAGTCAGCGGAGGAGGCTGAGCATTAGGTCTGGTGGAGAGCAGAGAAATGAGGCAGGAGCTGCTGTGTTGTTCAAAGGAAGGCTTTTGTTTCCTTTTTTTTTTTTTTTTTTTTGTAGATGAGAGACAAAATTCAATATGAAAAGATCGTAAGCATGTAATAAAGCAAAGCACATTTTTTTTCATATACATGATTTTTTTAATACAGTGTTTTGGTTTAATTAAAGCAGACACATCCCCAGGGCTCCCCTCCCTGCGGCCTGTCAGCAGCATGGAGATTGTGTTCCTAAGGACACTATGGATACCAGAGGTGAATGGACAGCTGCGGTTGGCATTCAGGCTTTTGCCTGTGGGGTGACGGCTGCTTTTGCAAGGTTTTGGGGAGCAGCCACCTGGAGGCGGGTGCCTGCCCTGGAAGACAGATCTAAGGTATATGTTTCTATCTGTTTGGCTGGGTGAAGTCTTTCCTTTTAGAGGCCTTGAGGACATTATCTCAAAACTATAGCGCTTTTATTCTGCCTGTGAATTAGCGAGAAGAAACCTTTACAAACACGCTTTTTTCGAAGGGGATGGGGAATGTCGGGGGCGGAGAGGATGGGGCTGGTGGGAGTGGAGGAAGGGCAGAGAGATACCAGCCAAACAAAGCATCTGCTTTTATCAAAAGTGCTGTGTTTGGACTTAGACAGCCTGAAGCCTGATCCGCTGATGCCAGACCCTCGGTGCCTGCCAAGAGACATACTGGCCTTGATACGGCTTTTCTTCTGACTATTCAGTTGGGCGGACTGCTGCCAAGTTAAGATTTCAGCAGCGGCTTTCAGCTCAGTGCTGTCACTGGAATTCTGCTGAGCGCAGGTTAACTCATGGCTCAAGTTTTTCTCAACCCAAACCACTTTGTGTCAGTCTTGGGTTCCTAGAGACTCACCCTAGTGTCATAGGTAGGACAGTGAGATGGCACTGTTTTAACACGATTAGGGAACCCGCCTGAGGAGATGGTTTAATTGCCATTCTTTTAACACACATCATGAGTACATTAATCGAGCACTGCCGTATTTTAAGATGAGATCGAGATGACTCACAGAAGCAGGAATCGGCTGTTGAAGTGAGAGAAGCAGGAGTTTTCGAAGTAAACCATCTGTGACAACTAGGGAGGGAAGTGTGCCCTGGTTTGCAGTCTGCTCTGAGCTAGAGGAAGGAAGACTCCCCAAGTCGAGGGAAAGGATACAGATCTCATGGCCTGAGGCTCTGAAAGGGAAACAGTTCAAAACAATGAAAGACAACGTGCTTACCACAATTTGAAAGAGGAAGACAAATGAGATCACCCAGGTACCTTGCATTGCAGGGTGTGTGTGTGAAGGACTTTGTCCAGCCTGGACCGACTCCTGTTCGGATCCCCACTGTGGTGCGATGAGCCAGGGCCATGCCGATGAATTCACTCGCAAGGACGTTGAACCTGACTGTGTGCCAGGCTTTGTGCCAGGTGCTGGATATTCAAAGAAGGCCAGGGCCTCAACCCGTTTGAGGACTTCATGGCCCTAGGAGAAGGGGATGCCCGTTTTGAACCATCTGACCTCACCGACACCTGTTCTCTCTCTCTTTGCTGCTGATCTAACTGACCTACTTCCCCTTCACAGCGTAGCCCTTTGTATCATCTCACTAGTCCAATGAGAAGTCTGGTTTTCTTGACCTCCGACCTTAACATCTTTCAGGTCGCAGGTCACTTTTTCTCCTTGACCGGGTGACTGCAGGTTGTACTTTCTGGCTAACCCTTCCCCAGGCCCTGCCTTCTCTGTGCCAACACTTCCTCTGTGCTGTCCTCGCCTTAGACCCAGACGCAGAAAAGGTCAGGCCGTGCAACCAAGGGCCAGATTAGAGGGTGGCCCTGGCTGTAAAAGAACCAGAGTGAGCAGAGGACTGTGAGAAATGCTGAGGATACACAAAGGGCTTTCAGAAGTTATGTCCGGAACAGTAAGACCAAAGAGAGGGGGGATGTGAGAGAAACAGAGAAACCAAACTGCTGAGCTTCTGTTCGGCTTGCCTTTTTTTTTTGTCAAGGAAATTGACTTCTGTGATTGGAAAAGGTAAAGGTGAAGGAAGAGAATGAGGCCATGACAAGAGGCTCTAAGACAGGCGTCCTCAAACTACGGCCAAAAACATTTATCCGGCCCGCCGGGTGTTTTTGCCGCCACTGCCTGTCCTGCTTAGCAGCCGACTTGTCCCAGGCCCGCAGTGCGCATGTGTGGAATGTCTGAGGGACAATGAACTGGCCCCCTGTTTAAAAAGTTTGAGGACCTCTGCTCTAAGACCACCAAGTGAGATGAAGCCCCATGGCCCCAGAAGACTGAGCGCTTGAGGCTGAGACCATCACACCAGCGCTGTAACCAGGAGCTACAGGAAAGATGCAGAGAGATGTTTCAGTTTCCAAAAAAGAACTTGGAAGATAGAGTTAATCTCTGTAACGATAAGATTGACATCAAATTCAGGGGGAAGGGGGGGTTTTTAGGACAATGATTTCTTTTGAAAACTTGGTAAAGGAAGCAGCAACCTTAGGAAGTAGCAAGGCTTTGTCAAAAGCAAGTCATACCAGATTAACTCTCCTTCCTAGGGTTACTCTGATGGTAGATTAGAGGAGTGTTGAGAAGGTGTGTATGCAAATGCCAATCATTGGTGATGTCTTGGGGTGAGAAAGATTCCTGCTAGATGATAGTGCATGAAGCATGCTGTAGGCTGTGTCCTCAGCCCCATTCCAGCCAATTTAAAAACCCATTTAGACAGTAATATTGACATACAGATCACATTGGTGGATGACATGAATCTTGGAGGAATAGCTAGTATGTCAAAATGACAGGTATGAGATCCAAAAATGATCTTGGCATTCTCAAACAACAGACCAAATCTAACTGGAAAGAGTGTAGGGAGAAGCAAAGACTTTCTCTAGAGTCCAAAAACAAAGTAAAGGTATGGGGTTTGTCTCAATAGCCACATGTGAACAACACTCCAGAATTTGGATCACACCAGCCTCAGAGTGAGTCAGCCATATACTATGGTTGTCAAAAGGGCTCATGTGATTTTAGGAGCATTAATTGCAGCTTAATAATGAGACTGAGAGAAGTGGTCACACTTGGCTGCCCAGATCACATCCGGTAAATGTTTTTAGCTCTAGACACCAGAAATGGAAGATGAATTCCCCCACTGCAGTAGAACAGTGAGCTTCTGTCTAGACCACCTCTGCTCTAAAACATATCTGTTGGTTTAATCATTAAGAACTATCCCTAACGTTCTTTGTACTTGTGAAAAGGAACTTCTCATGTCGTGTTAAACCTGGGAGGAGGATATAAAGTAAGCGCCAACCTTAATCCTGTCAACTACTAGTGAAAAAGCCTGTTTTAACAAAGGTCAATAAATACATGGTGAGATGTAAGAAAATGAATCTCTTCTCATTCATTAAGGTGAAGAAACAAAATATATTGTACTAAGTGTACATCTCAAAGTGTTATAGTTCTCTGTTTTTAAAGCTACATCCTTTTTTTAAATTAGCAAAGGCTATTCACATAATATGCCCCCACGTAGAGCAAGAAATATCTCTTTATTGGGACTTTAATGTGATTGTCAGTATCTGTAAGGACCTGAACATCTGACTGCACGCTGGCTGATACTTTTCCGAGAGACGTCATCTCTCCACTCACCAGGCCAGCCCTGTCTTAAGCATCTATTTCTTTCCATCTTCCCATAAACAGATGGCCCTGTGGTAGATGCTATCTGTCCTGGTTATCTCCCTGATTAACCTCCTCCCTGGCCTTTCAAATATGCCCAGAGAGACTCATTTTCAGCAGAAGCAGCCAGCCTCTCAGGCAGTGCCACTTTGGAAACATCTGGTCTCAGTGGTGCTGGGGAGCCTCTGCCTGAGGCCATCACAGTCCAGTCACGGCCCGTGGCTAAGTTACCTCCTTAAGGAGGAACCCCATCAGTCCAAGAAGGACCTTTCTCTCTCGGTTCCCTTTCTTCCTACAACATTATTCTTCCCTTGGTGAACCCATGGAGTGTGGTGGAAGGGAAAGGTCAGGGTCTAGGTCTCCTACACAGTGGAGAGGACACACACATTCATTCATTCATTCATTCATTCATTCATTCATTCAAACCAACATTTATGGAGCAACTGTGCCCTGGGGCTACAAAGTAGAATAAAGTAAAATATGGTCCCTGTTCTCGGGGAGCTCATGGTCCAAGAAGGGAGATAGGCAAGAGTATACATACTATACTGAATTATCATTAGTTGTTATAAAGTTTTATAATGCATAGAAAATAAGTGTTGAGGAGATGTTATTTCATTAATTCTGTGAGTTGTGGGGGTGGAGCAGGGGAAAGAGTGGTCAGAGAAGGTAGGAATGAGTGGGGAGATATGGGGATTCCAGGCTTCTTGGTTCAGGGAATTCCAATAGTTTGGATGTGTTGGAGTGTAAAGGACAAGGAAAGATGAGGCTGGTGAGATGGGCAAGGCCTTAGAACCAAGGATATCATCTAATAAAATATAAAATAAGAATGGTAGACTGCCCCATGTATTAATCTTACCCAAAAGAACATGTGATCTAGTAAGGAATATTGTCCAGCGGACACAAATTCTTAGCAGATTTAAAGCCTGTTACCATGTCTTCCTCCCTTTATCCCTCTACCCCCCCTTTTCCCCAGATGAGATTTTGAGATGTTGATGGAGCTTCAAGGTGGAGGATGGAGGGTGAAGGCACTAGATCCGTGGTCGGCAAACTGCAGCTCACGAGCCACATGCGGCTCTTTGACCCCTTGAGTGTGGCTCTTCCACAAAATACCACGTGCGGGCACGCATACAGTGCTATTGAAACTTCGTGGCCCATGCGTAGAAGTTGGTTTTCAGCCTGGGCAAGTCTATTTTGAAGAAGTACTGTTGATATTTGGCTCTGTTGACTAATGAGTTTGCCGACCACTGCACTAGATCAAAACCATATTTACATGTAAAAAGGCTGCAGCCACAAGGTTGCTGGTGGAGGGCAAACTTTCTCCTGGTTGTTGGGTTCTCCTCTCCTGATTGTGTTGCATGCCCTGGTGCATGGGTCAGTTAAGAATGGTAAACCATTAGACCAGCGGTTCTCAACCTGTGGGTTGTGACCCCTTTGGGGGTGAACGACCCTTTCACAGGGGTCGCCTAAGACCATTGGAAAACACATATATAATTCCATATTGTTTTTGTGATTAATCATTATGCTTTAATTATGTTCAATTTGTAACAATGAAATTGGGGTCCCCACAACATGAGGAACTGTATTAAAGGGTCATGGCATTAGGAAGTTTGAGAACCACTGCATTAGACCCTGAGGCTGCAGTGTTTATTCCTCGTTGGCCCCACTACTTCAGGTAAACAGACGGCCTACTGGTCAGACACACCCTGCCTTTTCATCTTA